GTATAGGAACCCCTTATAACTACTATTATATAGCAAGTATATAAATTAGGTTTAGTAGGATATCTAGGAAAGAATATAATATTTTAAATACCACGCTGCAACTATTATTAGGATAGAATATTACGAGACATTACGTGGTATATTTAGAACTACTATTATTATAGTGCTTATATCTCCTAGAAGCGCTAATAGGGTCTATTATAACCTATACTAGTAGCGTTATAATACTAGTCCTAAATATCTATAGATTTTATAGTTAACCTACCTATAAAAGATAATAGTAAACTTTAGTTCCTACTAGTTATTACTAATTATGGAAATTTGGATCACTAAGGTCAGGAATGATTTGGGAGATAGATCATTGGATTGTATCTACTACGATCGTACTCATATATATAGAGCTTCAGCTACCCTTACTAGAAGGTGAATGATCGGTAAACCTTCCTTACCAGAGCTCCTGCTTTTTGTTGGGCACTTGGCAGTGAGCTGGCAGTCGATCAGATAGTGGGTCATACAGGGGTATTGATCGGGATTGATCGGATCAAGATGCTCCGTGATCCGGTTGATATCCCTCCTGCAACACTAATAGATTATCTAAATATATTTAGCTTAAAGTAATAGTCTTTATAGTAGCTAATTACTATATAAGGATCTTCTAGGATAACTAGTAGTAGTTCTAGGGCTTCCTATTCTCTATTATTACTAACTAAGGCTTAGACTAGTAAGGATCTTTCTAGATAATATTATACTAGATAATAAAGATAAACTAGTTACTATCTACTATATACTACCCCTAGATAGATAGTAGGATAGAGTAGGCAAACTAAGAAGTGCAGGTAGTGCTGCGTATAATAGTATGCTTTAAGTAGACTAACTAGCCTAACTGCCTACTAGCCTGCTAACTTATACTTAATAATAGGGACTCTAGTATAACTAGTATTAGCCTAAATCTACTTTTAAATAAGTATACTATAGATATACTATAAAAGATAATATTACTACTAGTAAAGCCTAAGAATCCTTATAGGAAGGTAGTAGCGTTCTTATTACACCTATAGAGGGGTATAGAGCTAGCGTAAGCTACTATTATATTCTAATAGTAATAATAATAGGAGGTAATAAACTAGTCCTAATACCTAGCTAAAAAGTTCCTAAAAGATAATATAGTTTAGTTTATAATATATAATATAAAAATAAACTAACTAAGTAAAAGGTTTAACTAGCTATAGGTAAAGTATAAAGTAATAGAAGTCCCTACTCTACTTATAGTAGTATTAGACTTACTAGGGAACTTGTATTAGACTATATATATAGATCTACTAGAGAGAGCTGCTAATAACCTGCTACTAAGCTAGAAGCTTTAGGACTTATAACTAGGCCTAATAGTTACTCTAGAAAATAAAGATATAACGCTAGATAAATAGGAAGTAGAAGAGATCCTTTATATAAAGAATACAAGATAAAAAGGGAAGTGTTAAGTCCTAGTAAAATAGAAGGGGTATATTAATCTAATATAGCACCTACTAGAGGTAGTATAGGATACTAAGGCTCTAGATAGGTTTAAGGAATAGTATAGGGATATTATATATAATAATAGCCTAATATATATAAAAGCTAGGAAGTAAGGGTAGAATAAAACTAGAATAATAACTTAGAACTTTATTATAATTAAGAAGCAAAAAGGTATTAGAGATATCTTTTATTTATCCTAATAACACTCTAAGCAAGTGCCCTACTACTAAAGTTTTATAATATAGCTAATAATTAGGTAGTAGTGTCTATACTATTACTATCTATAAATAACCCTCCCCTAGCCCCCCCTAAACTATTATTTATATTATTCTAACGCCTCTATATCTCTTAGTAATAGTAGTAACACTTACGCATAGTATAGGTAGGGGAAGACTTAGTTAATAAGTATAAGTAGTAGTAGTAGTAGTAGTAGTAGGAGGAGGAGGGTAGTACTTTAATAGTTTACTAATATATAGTACCCTAGGCCTAAAGAAAATAAACGTTAGAATAGATATAAAGGGAACTAGGGAAAGTTAATACTAATAATAAGAGTCTTAATACTATAGGCAGTAGGCTTAGCAGCGCTCTTAAGCTTATTAATATAAAGGTTAGTTTAGGCCTAAGTCTTGTTTATACGCTAGTTAATATACTAGAAAGTAATACTAGTAGTAGTAGTAAGCTATATAACGTTATTATTACTACAACTACTATATAAAGGCGTAATAGTAGACTATAGTAGAAATACTAGAGTACTAGTAGTAGATAGAATAATAGCACTAAGCTAATACTAATTATAGGCGCGCAAGTAGGTAGTAGGGGTAAGTAGAGTAATAGTATTATTAGTTTAAGCCCTTAATATAAGATCCTTAAAATAATAGTAGAGCTAGTAGAACTATAGTATAAACTAGTAATAGGTACCTTTAGTAGTTTTCCCTATAAAAGTACTAAGGGTCCCCTTATTTATAATATAGAGGCAATCCTCCTAGTAACTATAATAAAACTAAAGCTAGTTATAGAGGGCTTAGTAAAGGTTAGGATTATTAGTAAGGACAGCTTCTAATTAAGTATAAGTCTTATAGCTATAATAGTAGGACTTATATAAGCGCCCTAGATATAGTTAGAACTTGCTATAAAGGAAATAAAAATTAAGAGAAACTTACTACTACCTTCTTAATAGTTACACTTACTAAACAGATAAAGCTAGTTAATATACTAATAATAGGGAAGTAGCTTTATAAAGCTACTATTATATTCCTTATTATCTAAGTTACTAGAAATAATAAAGCTACTAAGTAACTATATTTAGGGAGATATATACTAAGTAAAGGTTAGTATAGGAAATATAGGGAGAATATTAGAAGTACGCACCTTATCTTAGTAGGCCTAGCGTAGGGTCTAACTACCTTATAGTAGATCCCTACTACTAGCACTAGTAGTAGTAGATAAGGATATAATAGAGGCTAGATAGGCAGGATTAATAAAGAAAGAGTAGAGAGAGGGCTAATTAGTAGGGAAAATCTATTATATAATAAAGTAAGTTTAGGAAATTTATAGTAAGGTAGGATAGCTATATTAGAGCTTTTATAGTAGGGTACTAAAATAAGTATATAGATACTATATACGCGTACTACTTAATATATAGGCCTATTATAAATTAAGAAGGAATATAAAGATATAATAATAAAACCTAAAAATATACAGTAATAAAGCCTAATATAGATTATAGAGGATAAAGATATAACCCTAAACCCCTAGAAAGGCAATTTTATAATAGTTTATAGGGAAGGTTAGGGGTATATAAAGGGCTTAGGCTTATACCTAAGCCTAGGTTTAATACAAGATAGACTAAGTCTAACACTACTACTACTAAGTAAACACACACTGCACACCTATAAAAAGGCGTAGAGGGCTTACCTCTCCTTTAAGATACTAAATACTATTATTAACGCTTATTGCATTCTCCTTTAAGGCTAGTCTATAACATACTATGTGTAATCCTTCCTATAGGGATAATAGGTTTTAAGCTTATTGTAGTAATAGTAAAGGAAGCGCGTTACCTAACTTTCTAAGGTAGTCTTCCTAGCTATTAATAAGCAGAGATTTCACAGCATACGTTAGGTAGGTAGTAAGCTATCCTCTGTGAGTTATCTAATATACCCTACAAGTACTACCACCTATAGTAGAGTAAGTAATTATTAGTTTATATCCTAGGTGGTTGTATTAGTGCATTTCTAGTTATATCTTTAACTAAGGGCGCGCTAGTTAATACTATACTACGTAGCAACTTAAGTATATATAAATTGTGCTCCTAATAGCTATAATTTTAAAAATGCGATTGCTGCATCTATTGGATGAATATTGGGTGAGTTATCCCGTGTGGTAGACATAGTGAAAATGTTTGTTGTGGTGTTAGGGTAGCAATAGGTTAAACACGGCCATAACGCGCGCAGCCTTAGTATAATAGCTAGGCCTAGGATAGTAACTAGTATATAAGTAGACTAATAAAATAAATAGGAAAAGGTATCTAAGTAATACTACTATTATAGGGTATAAGGACTTTGATATTCTTAGGAGTAAAAAGCAATAAATAGACTTATCCTTAGCTTACTTAGGAAACTAAGGATATCCTAGTAATTCCTATTATAAGCGTTAGTGTTAAGCGTATCTTTAATATAGTAAAATATATTATTAGTAACTAAAGGTAGTATATAAATGCCTACATAATTTTGCTATCTTCTTATAGTTAAATATAGGTTTACTAAGTAGAACAAGGACTATATAAAAGTATTAGAAAAAGAGATAGATAATAACCTATTTAAACTACTTATAGTTAAGTATAATAATATATAAGAAGAGGATAATAACACGCCTAGTTTAGGAGACATAGATAATATTAATAGCAAAGAGGAGCATAAACTCCTACCTTAGAAATAGCAAAGGTAGACAAGAATCTATTAACTATAGTTTAATATCTTACTATAATAACTTACTATAATAACTTACTTTAATAACTTACCTATAGTAATAGTATTATAAATTATATAAATACACTAGTATAGTATAATATACCCTAAGGTTTTTAGTACACTATATATTTTATAATATAAATTTATAATCTAATAGATTCTAAATAGGGGGGTAACTAAAGTACCCTACCCCTACCTAAGCTAACTGTACCTTAACATAGAGCTCCTACTACCCCTACCTAGGGTAAATTGACCCTAACAGTACCCTAACACACTTAGGGTAGGGGGGTACCTAATAGCTACCCTAAATGCTATTACCCTACCTAAAAACATAGTATGTATAGGAGGACATTTAGATATTTATTTGGCGATAGTACAGAAGAGTATAAATATGATGTTAATGATGCAATTAACCTTATATAAGTGTCAAATTTTGAACCTTGCTATAGGAGCTTACATACATACAGCGCAACCTTTTTAGCTTGCTACTAGAGTACTCTATGGTTTGGGTAAAGTTGTCCTCTAATGCTTTAGACAATGAACATTAGGATTAGAGATAACTAAGCTCCAATCCGGGTTTTCCCCTATCTGTTGGTTAGGGTGTGAAACGTGTAGAGCGACGTTGAGGGAGTTTTCATCGTATGCCTTATACACCCGCCATATAATAGCCCTCCAAGTGCAGCTGCACTTAGGATCGGAATTGCTTTGTTGTACTCGTGCGATTATAGAATTGCCCTTTACGGACATATAACGAGTGAGACGTGGTATAATGTCCGTGTTGAGTTTGTTTTCGGTTTCTTTGTCGATAGACGCGCATACTTGGTTGCAGTCGTGCCGTTCTTTGTTCTGTAGTGTAACGTCTCGAGAAACGGTGACCTGATGGCAGTCGTGTGCAAGTGCACAGATGGTGAAGAGAAGGAGTTTTAAGTAGATTAGGAAATAGAGCATCTTAAAGATAAACTGTGAAGAAGAGTGGTTGTTATAGACTAGTGTTCAATTGGGTAATCACTAAGCGAAGGAAATATTTGGGAGATAAGTCATTAGATTGTACTTACTGGAGTAGAGCTTTTATAAGTAGTAAACCTTTCTTATTAGAGCCCTACTTTCCATTAGGTACTTAGTAGTGCGCTAGTAGTAAATTAGGAAGCTTAATAGAGAAGTAAGCGGGCTAGATAAGTAAGCTTACGAGAGAAGTAAGCGTGCTAGACAAGGAAGCTTACTAGAGACGTAAGCGTGCTAGACATGGAAGCTTACTAGAGAAGTAAGCGGGCTAGACAGGTAAGCTTACTAGAGAAGTAAGCGTGCTAGATAAGGAAGCTTACTAGTAAAGTAAGCGTGCTAGATAAGTAAGGTTACTAGTAAAGTAAGCGTGCTAGATAAGGGAGCTTACTAGAGAGGTAAGCGTGCTAGATAAGGAAGCTTACTAGTAAAGTAAGCGTGGGCAAATGATATTCGTCTAGGTTACAATAAGCTAAACGTCTAGGTTATAAGCCTACTAAACTTTAGTTCTAAAAAGCTAAGGAAATAATTACCCTCCTTTAAACCTACTTTATTATAGGAAATAAGATAGCTAAGAGTTAGACTATATTTAACTGCCTATATATAAGCAATATTAAAACGTTCCCTACTTTTAAATTAAGATTCTAGAGTCTTGCTATTAGAGGAGAAGTACCCTAATTAGAGTAGTATTACTACCTCTAGATAAAGATTACACCTTCCCTAAGGATACTAAACCTTGCTTTCTAATAAAGTTAGTATAATAATTTTAAGACTATAGTAGATTATCTTATTACTTTTAATATAGAACGCTACCTATACACTACCTTATCTACTCCTACTTAGATTACTGTATTATCTAGAAAAGGACTAACCCCCTTCTAATACTCTAGAAACTAGTCCTATTTAGATGCTATTTAGAAACCCTATAATAGACCCTTAATAGCTAAACCTTATATACCCTACTTATAATAACAAGGCACTACCCCTTAAAATAATTAACCCCTATCTACTACGCTAGCTACTCCTAGCGCTACTATAATAGGAACCTTAGTAAGTTGCTATAATTATAGAAAGCCTAGGCACTTCTCTAGTAACTACCTTAAACCCCCTAGGATTTAGGATATAGACGTAGAATAGGTTATTAAGAATTCTAAGGAAGAAGAAACTACTAAATTAACTAATTTAGATAGCTACTAGATAGGAAATAACAACGCCTAGGAGGATTCTCCTTCCTAGGCCTAACTTAATATAACCTATTAAACCTTTCCTTAACTAAATTATTTATTAGTTCCTATTTACTTATATATATAACCCTATACCTTAATAGATCTAGTATTTGCCTAAACGCTTTAGTAGATACTAGGGCCTAAGGTTACTTATTTCTTAATTTAAAAATTGCTTATAATATCTCTTCTATACTTAGGGTACCTATCTAAAAGCTACTATATAAGCTTACTATTAAAGGGTTCTAGGATTAGATTACCTCCCTAGTTACCTACTATATTTAGGTTTATATAATAGTTAGTAGCTAAAAGGTTTATAACTGCCCCTTTATAATAGTAGACTTAGGTTCTTAGGATTATATTATTAGACAACACTAGCTAAAACAGTTCTAAATCCTAATTAATATAGATAAATCTTAACTAATCTAGCTAGAGAAATATCCTCTAACCTATAACCCCGCACCTCTAATTCTAGTACAACTCTACTAGCAAGTACTATCTACTCTAGTTACCCACAATATCTTATAAAGAGACGCCCTTTAGGATTAAGAGGAGAACTAGAACTAAAATAGTCCTAGTTTAATTAATAGGATACGTGGTATACTTAAGATTCTAGCTACTTATAGGGCTACTACTAAACTAATTATGCTACCTACCCTAGTCTAATTACTAACTATTACTCTACCTATAAAATTTTAAATTACTACTATTTCTACTAATACTTTCTATTTTAATATAAAAAAATCTTCTAATAAATTCTTTACTATAAGCCTATATAAGATTAAGTGTAGGATCTAAACACTATCTAAATAGGATACTCTTAACTATAGCTTATTAGATTAGAAGCTCCTATCTAACTATAACTCTTATTAGGATATCTTTAATAAGGCTAAGGCTAATAAACTTCTAATCTACTAGCCTTATAACTATAAGATAGTCCTAGAGGAACCCCTTCTAAACTACTAGAGTCCCCTCTATTATTAAAATACTAAGGAACTCTAGGCTACTAAGGAATATATACAAGAGCACCTATAGAAAGGTTTTATTAAGACTAGTTAGAGCCTATTTACCTCTCCTGTCCTATATATTAAGAAGCTAAATAGAGGCCTTAGGATCTGTGTAGATTACTATAAGCTTAATAGCTTAACGTAAAAGGACGTGTATCTAATACCCTATATAGATAACCTATTATCCTAGCTAACTAAAGTAAAAATCTTTATAAAGCTAGATATTTATGCTACCTTTAATAAGATCTAAATAGACCCTAACTTAGAGAAGTGCACTACTTTCTACACTAGGTATAGTGCCTATAAATATAAAGTCCTACTATTTAGGCTATATAATAGACCTGTAACCTATTAGCGCTATATAAATAATATACTAATAGATTATTTAGATAACTTCTATATTACCTATCTAGATAATATCCTTATCTACTCTAAAAACCTTGCTACTTATAAGGACTATATTTAAAAAGTCCTTAAGCGTCTTTATTCTACTAGATTATAGGCTAATATTAAGAAAAGCGAATTCTATATAACCTATACCTATTACCTTAGATATATCCTTACTAATAAAGGCTTAGAGGTAGATCCTAATAAAGTTAAAGTACTCTAAAACTAGTCTATGTAACGACTTAGGTAGGTAGGGCATCCAAAAGGTATCCTATACGACTCAAAGGCATATACAAGTGCGCGTCTATACAGAAAAGGATAAGATTCCTACACCTATAGGTCTTGTATAAAAGGACAAGAAGAACATGCCTATCCTAACTATAGGCGAGCTGTTCTCTATATATATTAGTAAGTCAGGCCTTTATTAGGCCTAACTTAGCATAGAATAATAGGCAGGCAATTCTACCTTATTATTACACTACCCCCTCCTATAGAGAAAGGATAGTCCCTATCCTTAGGATTAGGTTTAGATCCCTTATTAAAGAAGAGCTTTTTTGCAAAATAAATCCACCTTTACCTCTACCTTTACCTTCACTTCTTCTTCCTAGGGTATAGACCCCTATCCCTAGCCTATATATAACTAGCCCTCTACCTACAAACTTTCTTACTCCTATATCCCTAATTTTTTAATTATTTAACCTAATCTATCTAAAATCTAGTAAGTATTTAATCTATATAATTAAATAGTTACTAATCTAAATTAGAACCTTTAGCTATGCTAGTACTAGTACTACTAGGAGTCCTCCCTATTACTTATCGCGCTCTCTATATAAGAGCAGTTAGGGCTCTAGCTAGGGGTAGGTTTAATAATTTTAATTTTAAGTTAAAGAATTCTAAGAAGTGCTAGTACTATATCTCCTAGAATAAGTATTATAATCTAGTAAGTATCTAAGTCTAATAGGGTTCCTTTACTAATCCTAGCAGATTCCTTCCTTTATTAGCCTAGAGTACTCTACCCTTAGGGGTGCTCTAGATAAGTATTACAGCCTAGTAGCTAACCCTGCTAAAGGGGATAAGGATAAGGAAGCTGTGGTTGCCTATTAGAAGGATGTTAAGCAGTTTAAGGCTACTATTTAAGAAACTACCTAAAACCTAGCTAAGTGCGTTACTATTGCTAATACTTAGACTAAGGGTATAGAAGCTACTAAAATCCTTATAGCTACCTATTATACTACTATATCTAATTTACGTTAGCTTTAGAATAGTATCTATAAAATAGTCTTAGTAGTTAGGGGCTTAATAAAAGCTATTAATAAACTTAAGGAGGAATTAGCGCTAAATTAGGAGGCAACCTTTTTAGTGTAGGCTAAGATAAAGGGATTTTATAAGAAGGAGTCTAAATTAGTCCTAGCTTCTACTACTACTCCTATACCTACTCTAAACCCTACTGCACTAGTTGTCTAGAAGCTGGCAAAGAAGGATAGTCTAGGCGCTATCTTAGCTAATACATAGTCTAAACTAGGTTCTAATAGAGAGATAGATATAGATTAAGGAGGTTTCCTAGGGGTAGTGTCCTAGGAACCTTAAGGGTTCTAAATAGGATATAATAATAAAGAGCGATAAGAATAATAGTAATAGATAGTAGTAGATAGATAATCTATAGCTAAATAGGATATAAATTAGTTCTAATATTAGGTATAATTGTTGTAAAGTAATATTAGATCCTCTTTACCTTTTTCCTAGGCTTAAATCTATTTTAGTAAGCTATATAGGGGACCTAGCTAATTTAGATACTATTAGTAGAATACCTATAATTTATAGGGAGCACCTATACAGTTAGAGGTAGGATACTAAATAGAATTAGGATTATGTCTAACCTACTTAACCTTATATTTTAGCTTAGATTAATATAATTTACTAGCTAGGATTTCTTCTACTTCCTATTCCTCTATACCTTATATAGGGGTACTAGGGGGTTTTAGAGCCTCTTATCTAGGCAACAGGTCTTAGGGATCTTTATATAGTATATTAGGGGAGAAAATGTTATAGATCTTAGAACTAGGTAGTAATTAGAGGCGATACGCGTTTCCTACTTGTTCTAATACCTTAAAGGGACCTTCCTATTATTTAG